TGCATCATTCAAAATGCTTGGCACACAATAGAAATCAAGAATATTTAATCTATAACCAGGAGAATAAATTATCAATAGAGATAGAGCTAGAGATGACACATGTGTTGAAATTAGTACACAAAGACTTTAAAACTGCTATTAAAAAACGTCCAAGGATTTAAAAGAAAATATGGTCATAATGTTAATATAGGGGGAATCTCATCAGAGAAATGAAAACTATAAAATAAACCAAAGAAACATTATTGAAAGAAAAGAATATAATAATCTGAAATGAAAATGTCCTGAATGTACTTCCAAAGGTACATTAGATACTATGGAAGAAAGGTTCATGAAACTTGCAGGCAGGTTAATAGAAACTATTCAAAATGAAGCATAGTAGAAAATAAAAAAGACACACAAAAAAATGAAAAAAGACTCAGAGACCTTTGGGACAATATTAGGTGGTCTTACATACATGGAATTTGAGTCCCAGAAAGAGAGGAGAAAGAGAGTGAGGCTGAAAAAAATTTGAAAAAAATTAATGATCAAAATTATCCAAGTTTGATAAAAATTATCTACCCACAGACTCAAGGCATTTAATAAATCCCAAAGAGGTTAAACATAAGGAAAACGCACTTAGGCACATTGTAGTCAAAAATGAAAGTGAAATTTTAAAGAAACTAGAAAAAAAAGGCAATTTACATATATCAGAGAACAACAAAAATGATCCATACTTTTCATCAGAAATAACGCAAGCCAAAAGACATTGGAACTACACTGTTCAAGTCCTGAAAGAAAAATATCAACATAGATAGAATCAGGTAGATCAGATCAATGTAACAGAGGAGAAGATCCTGAAACAGACCCAGACCACAGCTAAACTGTCAGGTTTCAACAAAAGCATTACAGCAATTCTGTAGAGGAAAGGAAAGTCCTTTTTCCTTTTTGCTAAATAATGATAGAGCAACTGAATTGCTATATGAAAGAAAAAAAAAACGTTGACACCTACCTGACACGTAAAAAAAGAAAAATGTCAAGAGAATCATAAACCAAAACATAAAATTTAAATCTATAAAGTTTCTTGAATAAAACATAGGAGAATATCTTCATTACCTCAATGCAGGGGAAGTTTTCTTATACAGAACACCATAAGCATTCACCCTGAAAGAAAAAAAATTAGGCCTCATCAAAATTCAAAACATACTGATTAAAACACTCCATTAACACAGTGAATAGTTAAGCCACACACAGGAAGAAAATATACACATTACATATCTCTGAGGATAATGGTAAAATAATTCTTACCTTTCATTAATAATAATACAAAACAGCCTCAATTAAACATAGGCAAACAACAGACATTTCACAGTGGAAGTATACAAATGGTCAGTAAGCTAATGAAAATATGCTCAATATCATTATTTAGCAGGGAAATACAAATTAAAAGTGAAATATGATATCACTGCATACTCATAAGCATGGATGAATTTAAAAAGGGTAGAAACAACAAAATATTGGTGAGCATGTGGGACAACTGCACAATACAGTGTCTGTGGGAAGGTTAAATGATACAGTCACTTTGGGAAAATGTCTGGCAGTTCCTATAAACTGAAACAAACACCTAACCTATGGTCTGACAATTCTAATCCTAGTCCAAAAGAATTGAAGTCATATGTTCACAAAAAGATTTGTACAAGAGTATTGACAGCAGCTTTATTCATAATAGCTCAAAACTGGAAATAACACAGATGTCTATCAATAAGAAAATGGGAAAACAAATTGTGGTGTATTCCAATGCTCTACTCATTTAATGTAGTTCTAGTGGTACTGTATTAATATTTACCCCACGGAATACATTTCAGAATGTTAGGGGTTATACTTCACATTGCACAGAATGAGACTTTCCTGGTATTATTCAGTTCTGCTCTTTAAAAAGGCACTGCAGCTGTTTCTACTCATGAAACCTCTTGATGCTCTGCAAATTCCCCATCTGTGGTTTCCCTGCCAGCTGACTTCTAAATGGCTGCAAGTTTTCCTTTCCATCTAATTATCTAGAATTTTAAATACAAGTAATTAATCCCTTGATCAAATAGTATAGAATTAGACTACTTTGATTGTTCCCTTCCCTCAAGAGATTGTAAGCTTCCACAGAATATAACATTTAAAGCACATTTAAACAGAACATAAAGCGGTTTTGGAGTAATACCCTCAAAATCCATAACCCAAAGCATTTATCTGATGAAACCAAACAAAAATGTTCTTTTGCTGAATTCTTCGGGGAATTGCTTCATCTACAGAACACTGAGCTGCCAACGTTTCAGCTAAATGGTAGGATGAAAATACCAGAGAGTTACCTTATTCAAGTGACAAACAGAAATCAAACATTATGGTGGTGATAATATTGAACACCAAGGTAATTTATTTTTAAAGGAAATTTTATTTTTTATCCCTATGGCTTCAGAATAAAACATTCACTGACAGATACTAGTTAGTGAAACGTAAATGGTAAAATTACAGAATTAAAGATGACTGTTTTCAACCTATCATGGATAGTGAGAGTCAGCTTAACATCATTTCTTGGGTCTTAGCTGTTTTCATAGACATTTCAAAGATGAAAGCATCCTATCCCCATTCTTTCTTTTTGGTGGGGGGGTAGGTAGTTAGGTTTATTTATTTAGTTAGTTTTTTTTAATGGAGGTACTGGGAGTTGAACCCAGATCCCTGTGCATGCTAGCTATGCACTCTACCACTGAGCTATGCCCTCCCTCCATCCCCCATGCCCTGAGACATTCTTATAAAGTAGATAGTAGTTCAGAATAACAATCAGGAGAGACTACAATAATTTATTAAATTAGCAAAAAATAAAGCCACCTTATAATTTGAATTTGCTTTGGTATAATAAGCCCACTTCCTTTAAAAGCTAGATGCAAGAAAATATCCACCAGTTGGCTGGCAGTAGCCTCATTACCCTAATTCCACATAATTGCTGTGTTTGATCAAACAAAGCTGAGCTAACACCTGGCCCAGATATTAGTCTGTACTCCCATTTTAGATTAAAAAAAAAAGATAAAAAAGCAGGGTGCACAGACATTCCTTTTTCTTTTTTTCCCCTCCACTGCCTGGAGCATGGGCACTCCATACTCTGTTTATGGTGTTGAACAGTAACCAATTACTGCAATCTTGGGAAGCTGCAGAGAACAAAGAGCTTCATTTGGGCAGTTTTAGGAATTGCAATTCCAGAGACACAGATTCGGGTAAACTGGAAGAGTGTTCCAAGAAAGAGAAAGAGTCAGGAGCTTATAAAGGCAAAAACCATTATGTTCTTAAAGTTGTCTGGCAAAAATTACGATCAACTCTGATGCAGGAAAGAAATATTAGTCCTTAAGGGATAGGCTGTCATAAGTTACTTAGGTGAGGATCCAGTAAGTAGGTACTGTTATGAGTTATTTTAGAGTGAGAGTCTGATAAGTATCTTGAATTTCTGGAGCATCGGGCAGATGTTCTGGAGGCCTGGGTTGATAGTAAGTGGTCAAAATTCAGATTTCATCTGGGCTGAGATGTGCATCATTCACACTTCCTCAATGGCCTCTTGGCTCCATAATAGACAGTTGTCTTGGCAAAATCGACTCCATTTTGATTTTCCTTTCACCGTGGTCAAAGAACTCTTAAATTTAGACACCACATCAGATATGCCATCATACTATGAAAGACTTTCAAGAGGCAAGGTTAGCAAGACTCTCCACAATTGTCTTTCAGTCCTTGGAATTGCTCCTAAAGGAAAAATATATTAAAAATATATATATATATGTATATATATATATTTTTTTCTAATACATTCCAGAAGTTGAATGAAATCATCTGTCTCTTTCCTGAAACCTTCCCTGGAATTACTTTTCACGGGAAAACTCCTAATGAGAAGACCTGAATGTAAAGATCCAATTCTCAAGAAGACCAGGTTTAGAAACAGTAAACAAGAGATATTTATTGCTTCCCCCCATAGAAGGGGGATACTGGAAAATTAATCCAAAAGAGCAATTTTAGCCTAAAAATATTGTTATCTATACATTTTTATATTCACTAAATAGTCCTAGGTCTTTTGTTTGTTTGCTTGCTTTTGGAGTGCTTTTGCAGGTAAGTTGCTTTTCCACACACAA